TGTCGCCACTCGCCACATCAGGCGTGTAAAAGAGACCGGCGTCTATATGGGACTCGCTATTATTTGAAGTTTTACGGTATGTGTTGGATGTACCCTGTATGAATAATAGTGCAAGCATTTTTTTAATGACAGATTGCCCCTCAGATTGCACCTTGTGTTATGCATTAGCCTAGATGTCACAGTAAGGGGCTATGTATTTTCTTTAACTGACTATATATTTGTTCCTCAATGTTTCCTTTAGGAATTGGGGATATTCAAATTAATTAACCAATCATTAATACCATTGATCAGCCCTACCTAACGTGGATGTTTTTTCCACTAAGAAACAAACATTGTTATGTTATTTTGATTTATACTGTGAAGCTTTGATACAATTGTGAAAAGCGCTATATAAATATACTTGACTTGACTTGAATTGTGTTCGTGTTTTTGCAACACAAAACGTGTTGGATGTACCCTGTGTACTAGGAGTAGTGCAAGCATTTATTTATTTTTATTGACATAGACAGATGTCTTTTCTTTTTTCAGATTGCACACATGTGTGTATGTTATGTATTGTGACAGGGGCTATGTATTTTCTTTTATTAAGGCCTACTTGAGCATATACAAATTTGCTCACTAAGAACCTGTGAACCACAATCCCAAACTGGCAGTTTGATTTTCTGTGTACTGAATTGTTTATCTAAAGTAAACTTGTTTGAATTTTATGCACATCATGTCTTTTTTTTAAATAATACTTTCTAAAATTGTAGTCCTACTTAAAAAAAAATCGCAATATATCGCCTTATGCACAGTATCGAAATATATCGCAATATATTGAATCGTGACCCATGTATCGCGATACGTATCGTATCGCCAGATTCTTGCCAATACACAGCCCTAATACAGAGTTATTTTTTTCTTCGCGTTTCGAGCCTCCCTTGTGCCTCTTTGGCGCCCCCCAGGGGAGGCGCGCCTCACCTATTGAAAACCGCTGGTATATATTATATTAATAATATATTATATGCATCGTCAGATTTGAGATGAAACGCAGTGCAGGTATGTGTCGAACCATGGGTGGAGAGTGGTACAGTTACATTTTTTGCAGAGAACCTTTACACCTCTACTGTGTACCGATCATCCATTCCATTTACTACTAGTTATAGCACAAAATAAATTTGAATGAACAATGAACTGCATTGTAAGAAAAAATAAAACTTACTTAAATGCATCATGCAGCAGAAAGATGTAAAAAAAAAACTAATTAATTTAACAAATTCCTATATTGTTGATGGTTCAATGTTGTTATTGACATCGGGTCACTTGTGAGATATCACCAATATAAGTTATATCATCATATTGCCCAACCCTGAGATACTACCACAACTAAAAAGAGGTTTGAGTTCACTTTAAAGATCAGGTACAAGTTAGTGCAGAGACTTGTGTTCAGTCTGGTCACTGAAAAGTGGGAGGTCATTATTTTGCTCTCAAAGTGCACCAGACTGGTGTATTTAACTTCAAAATATTCTAAATGTTATGTCACGGTTTGAATTTCACCTACCACAGTCTCACACAATCCTGTGGGAAACACTGCACTGGCTATAAAAAGGTGCACAAAGACAGACAATACCTCATGAAAAAAGTGAAGGAAAACAATAGTCAATTACAACCTAGACATATTCATACAATAATAATACAATAATGATGTCTGCAGAGTGCAACAAATGCATATCAATAAATAAATGAGAATAAAAGGAAGCACTGACTTGCACTTGTTAAAGGCCTCCATTGCAGATTTCCATTCCTGCAGCTCAAACTGAACCATTCCAGTAAGATAAGCAGTATAAGCCTACGGAAAACATCAAACACACTTACAGCGGATTCGGAACAGAACATTGACATGACATCAGCAACTATTAGTGGACATAAAAACATTGCGTAAAATGTCTTTTGATGGTCTCCCTGAAATCACATTGGGGAAAAAAATAATAATAATCAAATGCATCTTTGACCGACCTGAGCCTCAAGTTTGGTCTTTGCGTCCACACGAGGACTTTCACACAGCTTCTCCAGCTTCTCCCCATGTTTGGCGGCCTTTCGCAGGCGAGCCAACAGGTGAAAACGCTTTCGGGGCTCAGTGTTAGCTTCCTGTTTCAGCTGCATGGCATAACTCCATGCTCTTTCTGCTTCCATTAACACTAACAAGAGATGTCTGGAGTAGACAGATAGAGATAGGGAGAGGAAGAGAGACTAAGACCAAAGACAATAAAGCATCTTGCTTTAAGTGCACATTTTTGTATGTGTTAAGTTACCTGTTGTCTGAAAGCATCTCTACAGTCACTTTCTTTCCAGTAAACTTGTGTCTATTGCCCATTTTAAAGCCCAGAGTCTTTCTCAATCGACGCAGTCGTCGGGAGCAATAACCCCTTTGGTGTCAGAGGAGAGGATCAACAAAATTTCAAGACAATTTCTTTATTTAACTGAAAAACTTTGTCCTTGATACCTCCCCTCTGCCTTACCTGTAGCGCTGGTAATCTCCATGCCTGAGTCCATGCTGTTGCTGAGAGTCCTTAATGATCTGCAGAACTGAAGTCAGTGCTAAGGACAATAAAGCCAGGACATTTCAAATCAAATACAGCATGCTAGGATTTTAAAGTACTACCAAGAGTGTACACTGCAAGAAATACAGTAGGCTATAACACATCTCTCAGAAAAGGCTCAATTTGGCTTTCCATCCAAGTCATATCCAACCAAGTCATTACCCACTACTTTAATCAACACTCATAAATATTTATGAAAACCCTATTGAATCTCTTGATTATACAGAAAATACTTTTCTACTCAGTACTTCTGAGATCAAGTGACACGTATCCCATAAGACCCCCGTAGCAGCCGTCCTCCACTAAACTGCTGCTTTAATGCTAACGTTACTCTCCAGCACTAGCTAACTGACGCAGTGAGTTTAACATTGAGGATACTCTCCAGGCCAAGACTTCCGTCGATGCTGTTCTCTTTATTTTCCTCCATTGGCGATATTTTCACCTCATTCTGCCTCTCCGCGGCCATTTTTCAGCAAGCACACGTCTGATGAACCTTCAACCAGAATGAGGATCCGTCTTCTTCTTTCTTCTGCTGTGTCACAAACAAAATACCATTACCGCCACCTACTGAGCTGTAGCACGAATCAAATAAACTGCATTCATGATAATACAAATATATTTTAGAAAGTCTAACTGGTTGCTTAAGGGGTTATGTGCTTTATTTCTGTATCCACACCGTGAATTTCTTTCCAAGCGAGTTTGTTAATTAGTGGGTGACAAATAATATAACTAGTTACTAGGGTGAATTAAGGGTGATTGGGACAGTTTGTGAATTTCAGCCTTATGCAAAGTTTCTTGCCATAAATTAAAAACACCAGCCCAACACATAATACATTTCTATAATACTGAATAGGTTACCTATCCATTTGAACAGGAAACAAGTTTATATTGTGAAAGGATGCATGACATACACTTGTATGTAAACAGACAAAAGTCCTTATTTTTGGTAACATGATTTTGAGACAGCACATCTTATCATAGATTTGGGCTAGTAGTAAGCATATTGATTACACAAGTTACATATACTAGACTTACCTTTTCTGTTCATCATTATTAAAAGAGTTTGTTTCTGTTAAACTTTACTTCTCAATGTTGATTAATTCATCCACAATTCATACAGTAGCCTACAACACAACTGAGGTGAAAGAAGGCTTTAACTCCAAAAGTCATTGAAAAGTGTAAACAAGTTTTTAGAAAATGGTTCAACCCCCCCCTCCAATAAAATGTTTGACATTTAACCTGCACAAACCTTGGATGACATGAATAATGTATTAACATCAACAAAATCTATATTTAACTATGTTTCTATTTTCAGAATTAGGTTGTTTTATTTTAGCATAATAGTTCATGAACATGTTTGTGGTTGATTAGGGGTTGCAAAAATGAAAAGGTTGGGAAACACCAATTTAGAGCATACAGAGCATGGTTCTCTATTCAAGGGTTATCATTTTCTTAATTAAAAAGGTAAGGCACTGTCCCAATCACCCAAAACCATGCTGTCCCATGGGACAAAATAAAAACAACCTAATTCTTAAAATAGAAACATGAAATGAACACATTTTCACTGATTTTGTCGCAGTAGTGTATCATATTCATGTTTCCATCAAAAGTTTGTGTAAAATAGTAGTTGTGAGAATTTTATGACCTTATTATAAAAACTAACAAAAGCTTATGTCATTTCATATTATGTATTTAAGGGTCAACTTCCTGTTTGATGCCTGCCGCCACCTACATGATGTCACACAAATGAGGGTATCCAATTTTGATTATGAGGTCACAGCTAGGTTTCAGTAAAAAAAGTTTTTATTTTTTACTCATTAGGTGAGAAAAACTCTTTATAGTTATATTGTCCCATTTGCCCTTATGTTCCAATCACCCTTAATTCCTACAGATTTTTTTTATCAAATTACTGGTGACATCAATCTGACTAAACGGGTAGTAGCAAATAATTAAAGAAAGATGTGGCCTATTCACGCAGCCGATTTCAATGGCTACCCAGATTTATATTTTATTTTACTACCTGATTAATAGTTAAAAATTGGCCTTGTATAAGGAAAATAAAATCCAAAGTGGTTATTTGGGTCCCCTTAGCATCCGAGTAGGCCCATATGCAATGTATCACATGTACTTGTGCAATATCAAAGCAATGCGACTCATGATGCACAAGGGATCCATAACATCAAGTTTCTTTTTTTTTACTCGCACTGAACATATATCAAACAATTTCAAGGACGTCATTCAAAATTCAAGCGCATTTCACGCCTAAAAAAACTATGGAATTTTCCAACCTTTGCAAAATATGAACTAACCCTAAATCTTTGATTATCTGGGCCAGATTTTTAACCACTAAACTCCTACCACATAACATCAATATACAGTAGATATTAGTTAGCATGGTCAAAAATAAATGCAATCAGGATGGAACAGCTGATGATAAAGTTTAATATGAAATCTTATGTTTTTTGGGGTTTTTTCAAATGGTATACACTAATAGCATTTTAGTGAAAGAGAAACAGAGAAACAATTTTGTAACAGTTACATCACTTGATATGAACAGTTATCATATCACCACATTACAGTACTTTACAATATGTATTCCATTGAGATTCAGATGATAAAAGTCATATATTGTCTGAGGCAGATATGTATTTGAGCAGGTAGCATTTGATTTCTGAGATGTGCATAGTCTCTCTGATGGTGGTGTCTCTGTTACGGACCAGCAAAAGGCCACTTTTTAGTGTGCTCTCACTGACCACCACAGTGAAGAGGACACCCATCTCATCATACCTGCAGCATAAAGAAAACTTTCTCTCAACATTCATTTCATCATGAAAACTTTACTCAAAAGATTACTCAGTATTGTATAGAAAATAGATAGTCAGTTACTTTGTGTGTAAATTCTCCAGAGATAATGACATTGTGTCTAAGTATCCAGGCCATGTGGAAATTCCAACTTCAAGAAACTCTTGGAGTAAACCCTCACAAACCTTAAGAGAGACAATTATCTTAAGGTCAGTCCATCTCAAGTGGTCCACAAATTTGTAAAGTTGGTTGCGTGACCATTTTTAATTTACCTTTTTGTTTTTTGAGTGATTACCTCAAATACCCTTATGTATTGGTATTGCAAAACCACCAGATTAGAGATTACAGATTTTGCACACTCTTGTTTCTTAGACTTTAACTTAGACTAAAAGTTTGAGATTAGAATTTAAATCTAAATGTAATTGATCAAGATTGCTAAAAGTTCCAGTTTTAGGGTCAATTTAAAATGGAGAGGGTTTGAGACTCAGTCCTAATTTTTTTTGCAGAACATGTCACCATTTGAGATTTCTCTTAATTTATGTTGGCTAGAAATGGGATTTTATTGTAAAATACTGGTAATTTCGTATTATTTTGTTATACTTACATATATTACATCTGTTGATTCTCAAAAAACAAAGTAGGCTTTTAACAAAATTTCTGCAAGCCCTAAGCTCAGTAACCAGTGGAATCTCAAACTCGGCATGCAGTAACGGATCATTAAACTTTGAGGCAGATTCAGAGTTTTTGTTTTCACTTTATCACCTTCAAGGAACAAATAAAGCAAATAATTAAGTTTTAAACCAATTCATTAAAATAATGATCTTCATTATTTATCTGAACGAAAATAAAAAAGATGACTAAAAAAAGGTGTGGTTTGCTAAAGGAAACAAAAAGAACAGGTGAAGAGGCGAGGAAAGTGGAGATGTGGAGGAGATAGAGGAACTGAGTTGCTGAGCATTTTGCATGTAATAATTTGTGCTAGTCTTTGAAATGTAACCATTATCGCTCGAGTTTCAACCCTTGTGGGTATTCACCAGGAAGATTGTGTTGGAATCTTTGGATGTACTCTGCTCAAGGAAGAGTTGAGGCACAAACAAACAGAATACCAAAGTTCAGCAGCACACCGAACGGGTTTGGTCGACTGCTTGCAAAATTATTCTAGAAAATACATCCCTCTTTAAATAAAAAAAAGGAGGGATAAAACACTTTTTTCACATATTTAAAGCTCGACCCGGTGTCGGTGGTGCCCAACTGCTACTACAACTGTGGCTTAAATAAAAGTCTATGCTTCAGAATTATTACAATATAGATCACCCTTTCTCTAGTCTAGATCACAATTTGTACTTTTTTTCAAAAACCTTCAAACTCGTTGATGCCACTTTATTCTTTAAGTAAACTTTTGCCCGTATACTAGTGATTAGTTTCACTTTTTCGGACAGCCACCTTGAACTTGAGAACGTGAGTACAGAATGACACGTCCGGTGTGTGACTGTCCTAGTCGCTGTGCCGTGCTTGTCTGGTATGTGAATGGAGTCATAGCAGACGAGGCCACTGGAATGAGAACGGATTGTCTTATTTTTTTATGGATGTCGATGGGAGAGAGGCTTCAACACTTTTAATTCAGTAAGCTCACATTTGAGAGGAAATGACTGATCACTTTATGAATTGACAGACTATCTGCTAATCTTCAACATGTTTACCACTAAAAATGATCTTGAACTTTTGAACAGTAGTTTTGGTAATTATAAAAAGTGATCGTTTATCCCTCTATACCTGTCTAAGCTCTGAATTAGAGCCTCGTCCCATATCCAAAGCCACTTTCACTGGAGTTAAACTGGGATGCAGCTTTAAAACCTGAATAAAGCAAAGAAACCCTGGTCAACCTCCCAGCCATTTTTACATTAAAAATGACATATTAAGCGTCATTTTCCAACCACTTATTAATGCTTAAAAAAAATGTAGGGAAACTTAGCTTACTCACTGTCCTCTGATGAAGCTTCTGTTTGCTGTCAGTTTTTTTCAGCAGTTGAAGTGAGTTAAATAGGTAAGCCAGCATTCCTTGATCCACATTCGCACTGACAGAGATGACATGAGGAACCACAGACTTTCTTCCATCTCTGCACTGAAAGTTACATGATCATAGCAGTCTTCAATAGATAGTTGTGAAATAACGATTTCTAGAATTTTTTTTTTTTGTTTATTAATTTATACTATTTCAAGTATACTATTTTTCACTTTGAGTTCCCCTTGGCATAATATATAATTCAGATCAAAGTTAGTCGAATTAATTTGACAAACAAACTAAATTACACCTTAAACAATCTAAGTTTGCTCTGACCTGTAGATTGATGCAAGATCCTTGGAGAGTCTTTATCAGTTGTGTGTCCCCCAGGCTCCACAGTGTCTCCAGGGTCTCTGAGCCCCAGGGGAACTTATAAAGGATTTTAACACCATGAGATGTCCCCTCTCTCAGTTCCTCATCCACGACATTGCACATGCTGAAGTCAGACGGACCTAAAGCAAACTGCAGTAGGTGTTCAAGAAATTATATTCCTGCACTACACCAATATTCCTTAAAAATGTTTCATATCCTTTAAAAGTGGACGACCAGTGTGGTTTTTCATGACATGATTGATATGAAGTCACAAATAAAAGATAATATATAACACAGGCACAACATTGTTGCAATGAAATTGTTGTAACCAACACTGCACTCTGCCAGATGGTAAGTCTGTGCACACTGAGAATCAAATTTTTTCAGATAAAGACCAGGTAATATACACTAATATACAGTAGCCTACACAATGAATACCATTCAGGGTGGTTTTACATATTAAAACATATTTTACACAAATTAAAACATATTTTGGTATCACATATGTCTATCTTTGGTGTGCAGTTGAATAAAATCAACAAAAACATTTTTTTTTTAAATTGAATATTAGTTAAATTCTAAAATGCCCCAAATGGCGTTTCCATCCAGCGTTTTTTTTATGCTATATCCCAAATTGCACATAAAATTAGGAGGATGGAAACGCCAAGATGCGCATAAGTCATTAGGTTTTTTCTCACTAATTACTTCATAAGGTGGCAACACTGCCCAGGCCTGTTGTTTCAAAGGTGAAAAAGAAAACAATGAGAAGGAACAACAACAAATTACTGGAGGCGACAGCAATAGATGTGTGAGCGAATAAAGAGTTATCTGAAACTTTAAATGCAAATTGGTCTCTCTCTTCTGTCTTTCTACACTTAATTAAATTGATGGACCCTCTGGAGCAGGATTAGTATCGCTTTCGCTGTGTTAAGGCCCATTCACACCAAGAAAGTTAACTATAAAGATATTTACTGTATATAGCGTCCACACCAGCGGACGATATCATTCCGTTTATTCGAAGCACATGCTTGTCTGCCGCTTTAAATGGTCGAGTTCCTCACAGAAGGATGGATTCTGATTGTCTGTTAATGTTTTCATCGTTCATCAGCTGGACAAAAATCGCTCTGAAAGTGAATCCAATGATAGTGTTTATCTGTGCCGTTATTGTTATAGCTGTAGTGGGAACTCTGCTATTCTTTAATATTTAGAAGGATTTTTTAGAACTTTATCTTTATCTTTATAGTTATCATCCTTGATGTGAAAGGCCTTTAATCCCACATTGCGGTGCCAAATGTGAGCATTGTGAAATGATGCGTTGTAATAATATGACTTGATGCAACCCACAACAGTCGCATGCCTCATATTCACATGCTTTGGACAGTCACGTTAAACACTGCGTGTTGTACATACACAGTCGTTTCAGCGTTTAACAGGAAAAATGTCAAATGGTGATAGCTAAAAATCCACTCCAAATTATGTTTTGTTTTTCCTTATAGTCCATTCAGAAAAAAACTTGATAGTACAGTTGACAATGTGTAATTTGAGGAAACACTATTCTAGAGCAGGTTGTGTGAGGCATTCATCCAATGAATTACACTGACACTTCAAATATGGACATTAACCCAGGGTTTAGGAATGTAGCTTGTGAAACGTCAGCTAATGAATACCCAGGAATAACTGTTAACCCTGGGTAAAGTATGAGCAGTGTGAAACGTGAAGCAAGACAACCCAGGATACCAATTACCCGAGGTTTAGAATGACACAGGGTTAACTATTTTAAGTGTTAAAAGCTCTATTAAGTCAGAATAGTGTCACAGTTAGGGGTATAATGGTACACTTATTTGAACCAAGAATTTTCGGTAAATGTCTTGCATACACAAAGAGTACAGCGTTGTAGCCTATTAACCACTTTTAACAGCCATTAACCACCAATAATTGCAATAAGCTCTGTGTTACTTTCGATAAGAAATAAAGTATCATATTTCCAATTCTGTCGATTTTATCACGAAATTCAAACAATAAATGCAGTTTTGACACTTTGATGTGGCATGACAGCTCGCTGCAGGTATACTTCATTTTCCACTTTCCGCTCTGTCTCAAATTATACTCCTTTGGCCACGAACGGGTGCGCACTATCTAGTGGATTTTGTTTTCAAGACACTCGTCACAAGTCACTCGCACATGCGCTGTTGTACGCGCACTGTCCGCGAGGTCTCAAAAATTGGGGATTCGGGATGTGTGGACGTCCGCGGACCCTCATGGTGACGAAAATGACTTCAAGTGTACACTCTATGAATGAAATGAGCACAGCACAATCGCAAATCAAATAGCTGTGTTGCTATTTCTGTGCATCTCTCAGAAATCAGAGCGGGACATTTGTAGAAAGAATGGGTAACACTTTACAATACGGGTGCACTAATATGCATTAATTCATGTTTAACTAATGTACAGATAATCATGAGTTAATGTATAACTCATGAAGAACTAAACCATTAATTAATTATTACTGCATCAGCAACTAATAAAGAGTCTATATGATTAATAGATTAAGTAATACATGAATTGCTATTAATTCAATGTGTCATTGTGTATTAATTCCTTAATAACATATTTTATTAACTAATAGTGTAAATTAATGTGTTAATTACCACAATTAGTCAAAGCTATGCACTTCAACTACCAGTTGTCTGCTTTAATTAATCATTAGTTAATGATTTGCAAAGGTATCATTATGTTATGACTTTACTTGTTGAGGCACATCATTATTAACTAGTCATTTAGTAATTGTAGTAATTTACACATGAATTTGCACTAACAATGAAGTAATTAATCATGTATTAATGCATATTAGTGTACCTGTATTATCTGGAAGTTGAAATACAAGGCTTTGGCTCATTCTGGTAATTAACATATTAATTAACACTATTAGTTAAAAAAATGAGTTATTAGGGAATTAATCCACAATTACATATTTAATTAATAACAATGCATGTATGAACTAATACATTAACCATACAGACTCTTAATTAGTTCCTAATGTGGTAATCATTAATGAATAGCTTAGATAATCATTAGTTACACATTAATTCAGTATTATCTGTGCATTAGTTAAGCATGAATTAATGCTTATTAGTGCACCCGTATTGTAAAGTGTTACCAAAGAATGTAAATAGAGAGATGGCTGAGATACTATATTACCGAAGAGAAAAAGGTCAGAGGAAAATAATTAGAAAAAGAAGGGTTATGATCAGGCAAGAGCTAGGACCTGCATTAATACTGGAAAAGCTTTTCAGCACTGCAGAGACATTAAAGAGCAGGAAGGCCTGAAAACGGTTGCTTTATTTTTGCTTGATACGCAAGTAACATTGGTTTTACTATGTTTCACAAAACCAAGAAACGTTGTTGTTGTTGAATTACAGCGGAATTATCCATACGTGCACGAGCCGTCTGATTTTCCAGCTGTTAGTTGTTGCCTGTGTTGCATAGCATATGTGTTAGTGATGGGTCGATCATGAACAATTCGTTAATTTTGAATGAACCTTTAATATGACTCGGGAACAACGAATTGTCTCAGAGAGTGATTCATTCATTTTGTGTTGACCGCACATTCTGTGCAGGAAACAGAAATAATTCGTTCAACTCTCGAGTCTTCAGGTTCGAGTCAGAGTCGTTTGTTCATCCCGTGACAGCCCCATAGAGGCTCTCTTGTTCGCTGAACTAAAGAGTCGTTCGCTTTTTTGTCAGCTGTATTGGACACAGAAATTAGTTAATATTTCTCAAACTTTCTTATGAACAAGCAAGTAGTCCGTTTTTTGTTAATACTTAGTGACGTGATGCGTTTCTGTTCTCAAATTGTAGCTTTTTTATTTTTTACAATTTAGAATTTCTTTGAATTTCTGTCATGATGGTTCTTTTCAATAACATTGAATGTAATAAAGAGTTGGTAATGCTTTAAACTTTAAACTCTGTATGATGGGAAAAATCCCTTTGATAAAGCAAAGATACCTACATTTATTAACAACATAGTTACGTGACAAAAAAACAAACGACTCGAACCCGAAGACTCGAGAGGTGAACTAATCAATTCTGTTTCCGGTAGACTATATAGCTCAGCTTATGGGCATGTGATGTGACAAAAAAACAAATGACTCATATCGGGAGGTAAGGTAAACTAACAGACTACATAGCCTGAAGACCCATCCAAGCAATGAATTAATCGTTTCTGTTTCTCATAATTTGGCCTTGTTTTTTTTCTTTGTGATCAACGATGTAAGTAAAAGATGTAAGTAGTAGGGCTGCACCATATTGAAGAAAAATGCGATATGTGATAACTCATTAAATAATGCGATATTCGATATGCGATACGATAATGCTTAAAGTGTGTAAAATAAACTTAAATTATTTATTATATAACCTACATACGTGTTTCACATTCTTTTTGTGACAAGAAAACATCCCAACAACTTCTGAAAGTGAACAGCAGTGTTTTACTGTAGCATAAGTAGTAAGTATTATTTTTACATCAGTGTAAACCACAGGGTTTAGGGTTTCAGGAAGGCCTACATTAGGTTTATTTAACAACAGCAACTGAATAATCAAATGTAAAAATAAAACACGGCTTAGTTTTCACTCTATGAATTAAATATATACTGATTTTTGTCAAAGCTACAAAAGTTATTCAGCCAAGAGCAGTGACTGATTTTCTCTTTGTCTTTGTTTCATGACCCCAGTTATTGCAAGCCGATGCGATATGCATATCGCAATATATACATTTGCGATATTTCGATAATTTCGATTGTGGCGAGCAGGACGAGGCCGAGTGACGTGAGAGAGCGGTGCGAGGCCGGTGGCGAGAGTGATAATGAATGACACCTGAGATACGCACCGGTCTCGCATCTCTCACGGAGGAGCGGAAGCATAAAGGAGGAGCGACGACAGTGAAGATCAAGAGAGGAACAGGCCTGATTTTATGTTGTGTTTTGTTTCTGTTTTGTGTGGCCAGCAGTCGTCCGTGAGGGGCTGCTGGCTTATACTTTCATTTTTGTATTTGTTTATTTATTTATTAAAATCGTTGAACGTTCGCCGGTTCCCGCCTCCTTCTTCCCATAACATCTGAACCCCGTTACATTGGTGCCGCAACCCGGGAAGAAGGAGGGACACAGCGATGTAACAGCAGGTGGGACAGGGACCTCGCTGCCGTGCTCCAGGGTCGAGGAGGGGTGCCTCTCTCAGCTGGCTGAGGACCCACTCGCTGTGCCATGCGATGGTACTGGACATCCGTTGGGGGACGGCTCGACGCTCCTCCGCCTCCTGGCGGACGGCGATGGCTCCTCCGGTCGAGGGCAGCCGGCAGCGAGTCCCTCCTCGACCCAGGAGCACGGCAGCGAGGTCCCCGTCCGTACTTGTGTGTCAGCCATTTTGAAGAAAATATGGAAAATATTTGGGTCACGGCTTAATGACCAGAGGAAAATGGTGGCTCCCATGGCCAAACCAGTTGAGAACCACCACTGCTCTAAGTGTCGGTACCCAATTCTCCCATATTTGTGCTTCCATGCTTTACCTTCCTCCACCACTGCAGTCTTTGATGAGCCCAGTAGTCCATCCACTGTGAAGAAGTCCGAGGAGAACAGAACCAGACTAAAGATGATTCGGTTACCTCAAAAGAACTAACAGAGGTTAATGAAAAGGTTGCATATGTAAAGGAAAAGCAATTAAAATAATTACTAATTTACATTATTTCATCGTGTATATTAGAGTGATCCAGTAAAAAAGTCACTCATTAAAATAACACAGCTGATAAAAATGAAAGATAAGATAATAAGGCCTCACTCACCAACTGGATGAATGTCTGAGCTGATTATCGAAATGATGGCACAGACCAATCTCTGCCAATCCAAAAGGCAATGTCCTATTCACAAGCTCCAAAGCCTGAGTATACTGCTGTAAAGCACCTTGAGGGGAAAATGATAAAATCCCAGATGACTAAAACCATCGCATGGACTGTGCGACCTATGTAATGCGCAATGTATGCATAGTGAAGACGGGTCTGACTCTGCACTCACCCTGTAGCAGACTCGTCCGAACAGACGCACTGTCTTTCAAAAGTTTTTGAATCTTTTGAGATGCTTCTTCTTTAGTAAAACTGTCTTGGTTTAGGATTTCTTTAAGAGCCCTTATGTCAACAATCCTGACAGGTTCCTCACACGTTATACTTAACGCTGAAGTATTTATCCCAAATACATATGCTCTTGAACGTATTGCTGAAGTCCACTGCTCAATAATGTTTTTCTTTAGTTCTGTTCCTAAGGGCCCATATGTGCATGACCTGGTGTGAAAAGCTTCAGAAGAAATGTAATAACGCTCAGCGCAAAGTTGCATCAAGAGGCTGGTTTCATCAGAACTGTCATCACGAGTAATGCACTTGGATATATTCCGATACCAAGGGAGCTTTTCGCTTAAAAGCTGGAGACGCCTTCTGATGCAGTGAAGTAACATTTCCCCAAAGGGTTAAAACGTTAGTATTTGTCAGTAATGAATTAAAAAATAGGAACACTAGCGTTATATATTCTCCAGATTAAGCTTGAAAATGTCTGCAGCGGTCCAAAATAAAAAAAAGGCTAACAAGACTTCACCGCTATGGCAGGTTTGAAAGAACTCTTATAATATACCTTTTACTTCGTGTTCCGTATGTCTGTGGGTGTTACATGAGATGGTCAGTACTGTTCTTCTCAAGCAATGAAGTCTGCAATAATTTTCATGCTGCATGTTAAACTTTCTTCTTGTATTGTTTATTGTCGCTTGGCAAACATGCTTTCGGTGCATTGCCGCCACCTACTGAACTGGCGTGTGGAGCGTTCGTTAGTGCTTAGCAGGCGCGTCGTTAGACATGGGCATTCGGGGCATCAGCCCCGGATTTTTTTTTTTTAGCCCCGGATCTCAAAAAAATGAATTTATTGATAATTATTATTATTTTTTAATATTTTTGTATTTATATAAAAAAAATGACCGGGTCTTTTAATCTATCCTTCGGAATCAAAGACGATTAAAATGTGTTCAATCAGATCAAAGTTACTATGGTTACTATAGTTACAGCACGCTTGCATTTAGAGTGCGCACCAGAGGAGAGAGAGAGCCTGAAAGAGCCATCAGTCAACTTACAGCTTTAGGGCTTGACTGTCATTGTTGTTTGTGGCTTCTGGTGGTAGCTATTATGGACATTAGAGGGGGAAGGTATACTATATACTATATGAAGACTATAGTATAATGTGAGATAGAAATAAAAATGTAAGTCGTTAAATTCAAGATCACGTAAACGTTTCCCTCCTGTCAGTCATTCTCCATTCAGCATCAAACAGCGCGTTGCGTTTGGTTACGACAGTCAACGATGAAACTCTCTCCAAGATGATTCAATGTTACTATTATTATAGGCCTACTTTATCGGACGGTAGATAAAGCTATAGGGTTTCGCATAAAATGACTATCTTGCTGGACTGTATTGCTGTACCTTAATATTCGTTTCTACCGTGTGTCTGTTAGATCACAACACTGGAGAGCACTTAATTGTTCTTCACGCGCACATTAACTAAAATTTAAAACTGTTAAAAGAAAAGGCTCAATAAACTATTGCATAGATAGATACTGTTACTGTATAATACACTATGCATCGATATGCCTTTCCTTTGTGCTTTGAACTTTTCTGCGCGCTGTGACTCTGTGTTGCTTCAAGCGCACCATTCTGCGCTCGAGATGCGCATAAGCGCTTTGTGCCGCACATGAGTCTTTCATATATCATAATACTTTTGCGCAATGAAAGATTATTAATAGCTTTTTTTGTTCTGTTCTGTCCTATCTATCATATGTTGCTGCCTCATTAAACAGCTGTGCTATACATTTAAAAATGTCTTAATTTTATAGTAGACTATATATATATATATAATAATTGATCTTTCTGATTTTTATCTTGTTTTTCATGAATGTATTTTACAACAATACAAAGAGCAATGTGTAACGTTTTACCTGATTTAGTGCTACACTTATTGTCTCTTTGTTCCCCACTAATGTTTTTTTCACTAAATGTTCAGATTTTATACAATTATTCTTTTTCTAGACTAAATTTTACTGAGTTATCCACTAATCTAGTTTATAATATAATTTTTGTCATAGGTTATGATCATATTTTTTCTTTTTTTGATTTGTTGTTTTTATTTATAATGAAGTTGTCTGTATTAAGTAGATTGTGTTTAACACACAAAAGAGTGATTATCAGTTCAACACACAGAGTTATAGAAATTCTACTTTGATTTAAAAAAACTGCGCTGGTATTGGACCGGTATCGGTTGATACTCCGAATTTTTGGTATCGGATTGGATCGGTTCAGAAAAAATGATATCGGGACATCCCTAATATTTTCTGGTAGGCTATATCTAAGTTACCCAGGAGCTCTGTTGACATAGGCTTAGCTTGATGAATTGAGTCGTTGAACACAGCAGGAGAGAACGCAACATTAGCCAACTAGCTAAAGCTCCGGTGGAAAATTATTAGCTAACGCTACGGAGGCCATAATGTTTTTGACTCATGGCTGAAGTTAAGTTTCTCCAGCTCTCCAGGTTGGCAAAAAATGCATCTCAAAATGCATCAGATTGATGCTTTAAAATATGGAATATTTAAAATTTTCTTAGATATATCCCTAGAGGGGTAATATCCTTCTCAACTTTTTCACCCCTGACCCGTTTTCATGCCTGCTATAGTTCCTTTTCCAGACTTATACAAGCAGACTGTTGGAGTGATTTATGTGTGTGTGTGTGTGTATAGATAGTTAAATAGAGATATAGATAAATATCTACATACACAGTATATATATATATATATATATATATATATATATAGTTTTATATTCATTTTTTTTAATATTATTTAATATTCATGTATTATTTATTTGTGTTTCTGTGAATAGCTGTTACAGTTCTACAAATAAAGCATTCTATCTTTTTACCTATCAATTAAATTAGCTACAAAAAATGCACCTGAATGCAGGAAATTAAGTGTTTAATGCCCAAGGTTTCCTGGGGGAGGTCCCCCAGACCCCCCATTTATATTATTATTGCTTATTATTATGTGCCTCTGAGTAGAAGTAGTAGTTACCAAAAGCAGGGGTGGGTGGGTGGTGGGGACTGGGGGCTAAGCACCCAATGTATCAAGACCCTAGCAACGCCCCTGGTGCTTAGAGGAAAAAATAATTAAATAATAATTAATAATGATAATGACCTAATCATAATGATAGTAAATATAAATAAAATAAAACTATACTTGTGTATAATTTTCTGTTTCTTTTAGATACCTTATCAAAGTTATTTTATAATGTGTAGGCGGCTAGGGCCTATATATCATCCTTGTTGCTTAGTAGATGCTCTAATTGTGAGTGACAGACAGGTTGCTGGAGAAATGGTGGCCCGCCCTGGGCTATTGTGTCTCTGGACCGGAGCAGACTGTGTGCGCACAGCAGTGGTTTGCCTGACACTAACACAAAACCAGACTTCATTCGCCCCATGGAAAACATATTACCACTGCATGAATCATTCCCTATCCCCTATATTGTGCACTATACACAGTGCCATGTGCCATTCACCATATAGAAAATAGTAATTGTTTGAGCAAGTGACCAATTTCAGCTTCTATTTATAGTGTGGGGGCGGGACACTTCATATTCTAGAGAGCATTTGATTGGACAGAAAATCTGACGTGCAGAATGATGTCATCAAAATCATTGATCCATATTGGAGGAAGAGACTTGTCAAAGCCCGTCTACGGAAAGCCTGGCCACTCCCTATTAAGTCCTATTGTACCGACGTTTTGGTTGTAGTTCCACCAGAGTTCCACTGGGGGCAATAGTCCGAGTGCAAAATGAATGGGAGTCTATGGGGCTAAACGGCTAAATTGGTCTTTTTCACCCGATTGTCATTGAGAAATTTTAGATTTGAATGTAGGTTTTGCAAGTCCAACATGGGTTATAGGTCGAAAGTTGAATGAACGAGTACTTATGTCCTTTCGATTTCTTACAGGTTGAGTTGTTGTTGCCCATAACACGCTAGCATTCTGCTAATGGACGCTGATTGGTCAGTGAAGGACTGATTACGACCAGAGACACCGCTTGATGGCATCGTGGCATCCGAAGCGGGACCACACATGTATTTACCTGTGTCAGTTGTGTAGTAGATGCCTCGAGAGAAAAGAAAGTGCAGAACGCAAAAGCATAGACATAATAAATACATAGACGCCCTATTGGCCGCTTTGGAGCGTTGCTGCGATAGTTTTCTTATTGTGGAAAAAGCATTTTCTGTGATTGACCCGATTTTAGCAATAACAAAGATAACTGATGGATCCTTTATCTATGGTAATACGATATGGTACAACTACAGTGCAGTGCAAATAGTAAATATAAGATAAAGTGAGAAGTAATAGTAAATAGTTTAGTCAATAAAATAAACAAACAAACAGTACAGCAAATAAAATAGTAATGAAAAGGCTATATAAAATATAGGCTATATAAAATAAAATGACACAACCCTGTCTATTTTTCAGTTTTATTGATCAGTAAGAGACATTATAACAGTATAAGTAGCCTAAAAGGTATAAGAAGTGTTATACAAGACAATAAATAAAGTAAACGATTCAGACACAGCAGGATACAACGTTAAAATAGCCACAATATAAAGTTATGAAACTTCACTTTGCCGTCAGCCAAAACGATTTGCCAGGGAACAAGATTAATGAGACCAAAGATCGCCCGTTAGATATACACAAGACGAATTATACGTCATGTTTGACCACAAACGTCAGAAGCACCGAGTAAGGGCCTTTACATAGTCAACGCGAGCAACGCGAGCAAGCAACGCGAGCTACGCGCTCCTTTTCATAGTACACAAGCGTCACCGGCGATGCGTGAAATGCAATACACCGATCGCGCAGCAGGGGGTAGTAGAGTCTAGAGTCGGGTCACGTAATATTCAGATCAAAATGGCAACTGAAGAGGAGTGCATATTGCTGATTTTACATCGGCGGCAACAAAGGATGTATACGAACAAGCTCGCATAACTTTTCCTCTTCGCCCGCCATTGTATTCAAATCTTCTTCTTCTGTAAACATAATAATATACCTTTTTATGTACATTCCTTGCAATGTCGCCCCCACCGACAACGCATAGTATTGCGTGCATCGGCGCGTCGCGTATCAAAAACTAGGATGACACATTTGGCTACGCATCGACGCATAATGGCGGCCGAAGCGTAGCGATGTGTAGCCTTGCGCACGCGTATGCGTACCGATGCGTTGACTATGTAAGGGCCCTAAAGGCTGTTCCAGGCGGGGTGCAGAGCACTGAGACCCCGGTAAAGGCTTGGATATCACAACTCCGAAAACGTCAGATAAAATTTTTAAATAAGCGCTATCTTTATAAATAAACCACAGATTTGAGCTTTCAACAACTACATTGTCGACTGAAAAACTATTAAAACTACATTTCGTGACACAATAACAGTAGTATTTTTAAATTT